GAAGTAAATTAGTACAAATTGTTATTAATTTTCATTAGAGTTTGAATAAAAGCATGAACCATATTTTTATAAAAAAATTAAAAAAAAATTANAAAGTTACTAAAAGCCATTTAGTGAAAGGAGTTATTCAAACTCTAATGAAAATTACTAACAATTTGTACTAATTTACTTCGTTCTAAAAAAAAGCTTGTCGGCGAATTCAGCGTACATGCATAATTGGTTAGGTATATGTATGCAGATATTTAAATGCCGGTTTGCTATTCGCGCGACAAATTTTTTTAAAACGAAGTAAATTAGTACAAATTGTTATTAATTTTCATTAGAGTTTGAATAAAAGCATGAACCATATTTTTATAAAAAAATTAAAAAAAAATTATAGCTTGAGAAACATTAAAAATATTAAAAACGAAACACCATTCATCCATTTTTCACCGCCACTGTATATGTGTATAGGTATTTCGGCTTTTGGATAATAAATGGCGCAATATTTAGAAAAGGCAAAGGTGAAGGGGAATATGTAGATGAAGAATATGATAAACATAAAATAAAAACAAAGATAAATATAAAGAAAAATATGAGGATGAGGATACCGATAAAAGTAAAGATGAAGATAGAGGAAGAAAGATTATAATAAAGATAATTATAGAGAAAAGAATATAGACAGAGACACAGTCTCAATCTGGGAACTATTCGGGATTTTAGAGATTTTCGGAGTTCTCGGGACTTATTGATATAATAATCGATATTTTATCGGTTTTGTTATCGATATATTTTATCGATTTTGTTATCGAAATTTTTGTAGATGTCGTAATCGATTTTGTTATCGGTACTTTTATCGATTTTGTTATCGATTTTGTTATCGATGTTTTTACCGATTTTGTCATCGATTTTGCTATCGATATTATTATTGATTTTGTTATCGATATTTTTATCGAATTTTTTATCGATATTATTATCGCTTTTGATATCGATATTTTTTCCTTAGTGTGTGCTTTCGTATTTGACTTGGCTGTGCTTATAACCATACCACGTATTCTACGTTTAAATTTAGCGGCTATGTCTCCGATACAGCCTGCAGACCAAGACGAAGGCGCTGGGCTGTTCCCTTTATCCAGGTTTTTCTAAGAAACCTCGCGAGGTCCGGCGATCCTAGGGAGCGAAGTCTGGTCCTGGTGAGGGCTTCACAGTGGCACATAATGTGCTCGGTTGTTTCCTGTTCTTCGTTACACAACATACACTGGTCAGAGTTTCATCACCCTACCGCGGTCTGTAAGAGAGCCTGCAACAATTCTTACTTCATGTCTACTGAGTTGAAGCAGTTCTTCGGTTCGCCTTGTTGATATATCCGGAATGAAGGACTTGGCCTGTCTGTTACATTCCGTAGATATAGTACTTTCGCCTAACGAAGCTCCATGGCAGACCGGTAAAGGGTCCTAAGCCTATGAATCGCTCTGCAGCCCCTTTTATGGCGAGAATATCTGCCACTTCANGGACTTGGCCTGTCTGTTACATTCCGTAGATATAGTACTTTCGCCTAACGGAGCTCCATGGCAGACCGGTAAAGGGTCCTAAGCCTATGAATCGCTCTGCAGCCCCTTTTATGGCGAGAATTTCTGCCACTTCATTGCCCATAACTCCACCGGTACTCATATGAGTTATACCCGATTCCTGGAAGCGATACTTAAGTATTTAAAGCTGAAGACAGTCCCACACCAACTTTGAGGTGACATCGTGCGCTTTAAGAGCGAGGAACGCCGCTCTGCTGTTCATGTGATGTGTTTTTTGGTTGCCCCACTCTTTACATACTGCCTCAGACCAAATTTAACGTCGTGAACCTCGGCCTGAAAGACAGAGTTAACTTGTCCCACGCTGGTGAAAAGGGGCCGTCTGGGTTGTATGCCATAAAGTCCTGCTCCGACGCCGTGACCGATGTGGCTGTCCTGAGGTTTGGGTCGTTCGTTGTCCCAGTTGTTCCTGTCAGGGAAAAATACCTTGAAGTTTCGTGTGAAATTAAATCTCGGAAGCCGCAAAGCTCATGCGCACCTGAGGGCGGAAGGGTGTATGGGATCCTTATCCTCTACAATGTCCCCTAAAATGAGGCTTGCTGTAAACAGTTGCTGGTGTTGTTCGCAACGCGTCAGTGTGGTCCACGCAGGTCAGTCGTGGTAGCTTGCTGAGCTTGGCCTGCGTGAACTTGACTTCCGCCTTCTTCCTCCAAACGGGTACAGCATTTGTGAGAATGGGTTTGGGGATGGCATCATGCATCTACCATGCCAGTTTAGGTCAGATGCCCCAGTGCCGTTCCATAAGTTTCCGGCAGGTTCAGATAGAGGCCCTGGCCTTTGAATAGTTTTATATAGGTGCAGACTCAATGAGGGCTTGTCATCCAGCATAACTCCTGTCCTGTCCATAGATATTTGACCTCTGTGGAGAAGTGTCACCAAATGGTGACTATGTTCAGAGCATTGTTTAGATGTTAGAGTTTGTGTCTTTGAACCTGCCTCTGATTAGGATGTCATCCGCGTAGTCTTAAACGTCGAAGCCGTTTTCGCTAAGAAGCCAGAGTACTTCGTCTTCTACGATGGACCATAGCAGAGGGGAAATTACTACGTGTGTCAAGTTAGCACTACACTTTTCGAAATTGGAAAAGTTAACTACGCCATTAATTGTAGTGTTTTTGTTGTAAATTTGTTGTGGAGGAAAAATTTGTAGCTTTCATTTTTTTAAAAATTATGGTATGTAGTGCTAACTTGACACCATACACCTAGTCGATAGAATGGATATACATATCTAATATGTTACTATGCCATTAATTGTAGCTTTTAACTTTAAAATTTGTTGTGAAAAGAAAAAATTTGTAGCTTTCGCTTTTCTGGAAAAAAATGAGTTGACCCTTTTTCGAACAAAATTTAGTATGTAGTGCTATCGGTCGTCGTCTTCGTCTTGCTTTTCATATTCTGCAGCTGCTTTAGAGCTACCCTCAAGGGGTGTGCTCATAGCCGCTCTTGATGAAGACGCCTGGCACAAGAGGTCGATCGGCCGTTGGTTGCTACCCTCCAGGTTTTTGTAACTACTGACGCTGGATGTAGGTTGCGTTGTAGAAGGCCGCGCAGGCTTCTTCGGAACCGATCCAGCGGCTGCCGAAAATATCTCTTGACTATATTTGACGCCGTGTCCGCGGCGTAATTTTTACCTATGCAGAGATCCGGGATTATTTATAGAATTTTTTACGAAAGTTTTTAGGTACACACTTTTTTAGCCCACTTAAATAATTATAGTATAATAAAGTGCTAGTTTTAAGTGCCTACGTATACCGTTGATTTTTGGCAATTTTTTTGTTGGCCGTGTTACGCGTTTTCTTCCATATAACGAAAGTGTGTAGTTTAGTTAAGGGGTAAACAGTTTTTATTACAATCGCAGAATAGACCTTGTTGCCGCTTTAGAGACTTGAATAAAACAGTCTGCCCTTCGTTTTCGCGCAGTTTTATTTCCTAGATAAAATATGAAGTAACAAGGATTTAAGTATAAAATACAAAACTAAAATTCTTACATTTGTTTCGACCCCTACACACGTGCTCCCTGCTTGATAAATGCAAAATGAAATGTAATTTTCACAAGTCGAAGGGAGTTGCCAGGAGGGCCAAATTCCCTAAGAAGAAAGTAATACATGAAACGTAAAATAATTTAAAATTTAAACAATTAACAATTTTCGCCAACAGACCTGGCAATATTTTTAGATTATTTTTTCTTTGAAAACATATTTTTTTACCAAAGGCATATACAACATATGAAAAAAAAATATTAGTGTAACTGTAATAGTCTTGTACGTAAACCTGATTGACCTTCATTGTAAAATATTAATAAATATTATTGGGGAATTAGATGCTTTTTAGGTATTAATTGGGGTGGCCAAAATTAATGTAGGTGCGTACATTTTTGATTGGTCAATTTCATGTACATACTAATTACCTATGCCACAGACGTGGCTCCCTTTTAACCGCATATTTATAGTCCACATTATAAGCGTAGCGTGGAGTCTCATAGTTTGAGATGAAAGCAAAAAGTTCACCGAACATAGTTCATTTATACCGTCGAAGAAATTGTTGGTAAAACTTAAAATAAGAGAGAAATATAGACAACATTAAACTTAATTTCTTGAAGACAAATTATAAAGTGGTCTTAAATCGGTTCCAGTCTTATTTCATGAATTTGGTCCGATTAAAAACTTTTGGGCCTAGCCAAAATAACGAACTTTTAACTGGTTGACGCTAAAAATTATGATTAGATTAGGTTAGATTGATAGTTTTAAATTTAGCTTCTTGGAGTGATCATAATAGCTGTGGTCCTATGTTCCACTTTGTCTTGTTTCTGTTTTAGCGGGCAATATTTGGACTCTACGTAAGACAGAGATTACTCACGAAGTGCTTTTTTTTCGTACGCACGAATGTAGGATATGAGGCAGCTTGGGTTTTTTATTACTTGTCGGCGTTTCGAAGGAGCTGCTTAGGAATTTCGAAATACTTTCCAGTTGGTTAAGCGATCATTTATTAGTTCCATATTCCTCTGTGAAGGTGTAGTGAGTGTGATTTGGCTACTCTCACACCCAGTTGCACACATCTATAACAGTGTACATACATACATAGATAAAAAAAACTCCGAGCCACTTCAGCCTCTTTTCCTGAGTCTTGCGTCTTTGTTTGGCTTCTGCAAACTCTGAAATTATGTAAGCCTTAAATACTTCACTAGTAAAAAATATTAACTTCATCCACATAAATATTTACTTAGTCACCTATAATTTTTTTTAAATATTTTATGATCAAATAATGCGTAAAATTGAGTAAACATTTATTAAGTCTGCTGTGGCCTCAAAATATACATGCTATAAAAAGCGTGCGAAAATGAAACGAAGTCAGTGCACTTGCAGTTCTCAAAATAAGAAGAGTTAAAACGACGCTACCACCCACACGCAAAAGAAAATCATCCTTAATTAAAAAATGAAGCTTGTGTTGGTCAGCACTCTACTGCTGATCGGTGGAGTCTTAGCACTACAAGACTCCGTTGAAGTTTCTACGCCAAAGCCAGAAATCAGTGGGCAGTCCATTGGGGAAACCGAACAAAAGCCGATTGGTCTAGGAAACATACAACGCAATCCGTTTGGCAGTGTGTATCCAAATCCTACATTACCACTATTTCCTTTAACACCGCAGTGTAAGTTTATCGCCATTTTGGGTGGAATTTGAAAGCATCTTAACCCACTCCCTCTTCTTTAGTTAACCCCGGTGCCTGTTTGGCACCTATCGGTCTAGGCTTGAGCAATCTCTTCAATCAGGCCAAGGCGTTGTTGCCACTCGAACGCATAGAAAACATTGTCCGTGCCGCCGCTCAAGATCCCGAAGTGCAAGCTTTCTACAAGCTGGTCCAGACGCCCGAATATCGTCAGCGCATCGCAAATTTTAGTCGCTCGCGCGAGTATAAAGTCTTTCGTGGTATGGTCTGCTACAAAATGAATTTCGATCTGCGTTTGTATATTGATCTTAAAAGAAATTTATTGCCGTTGTCGGCTTTGAAGGAGCCTCCGAGAATTGACACTGAGCAGCTGCCTCAAGGTCGACCGGGTCTGCGCGGTTTACTGGAGGACATACGCGACGCATTGCCGCGTCAGCGATTGCGCGATTTATTCGAGCGTTTATTGGCGACCGATTGGTATTTGACACGCGCTGTGCAAGTAATACAAGGCTACGAATTTAAGATAGTCTCGGCGTTGGTGAAGCGCAATCCGGATTATCAGTATTTGAGGCGTGCCGAGCTGGAGGTGGGCTGGCCGCAGGAGGAGTGGCAGAACTTGATTCACATTGCGTTGGGTTGGCGTGAAGATTTGCTTTGAGGGGAACGGAAGCGTGCGCAGAAAGTTCTTTCGAAATGTGTTAAGAAGATAGAGGTTGAAAAGCTGGATAGCTTTCCTTTATGAAAAAAAGAAAATGTATAGCCTTAGGGTTTTATATAAGCAGTATTATGGCGTAACTATTTTTAGATTCATGCACTGAATCAGAAAAATTATATTAAAAATATTTTAAATTGTATTATACGATTTTATTTCTCCAAAGTCGACACTCGATAAAGATATAATAGTTTATCGGGAGGTTCATCGGCCATGCTCGATCGAAATCTCGAGATATATCGCGGAATACAGCTGTACAATACTTTTTGTGTTCGAATGCAGTTTACAAGCCTGTGAACTTGTTCGATTGTGCTGTGTTTTTTTCCTGAAACCGAATTGGTGATTAGGGATAATCTTTCTTTGCTAGCAAACTGATTGGGCGATATGACTCAACTTTGTCTGCACTTTTTCCTGGTTTAGTAATCATTTTTACCTGGGAAACTCTTTATTGAGGTGAAACGAAACCAGATTAGAGAATTGCGTTATAAATATAAGTCAGGAAAGTGATTGCTTCCGCCGGGGAGAATTTTGTTATGGATGGGTCCATTTGGTAGGGTTGTTCGAGAGTCTGTCTTACCTTTTGTGCAGTTTTGGGAGAGCGGGCCAAACACATTTTTAGGTGACGTGCAAAAGTGATTGCTTTTTCGAGATCACTTTTAGCCCATTGGTTGTTTTCCATTCTGATGGCGGGCTGTGCCGGAGTTGGCCTCTTTAATTTTAATGATAATGAGTGGTAACGTGGTCTTGAACGCATTGCCTTATAATGTCTTAAATTTTTTTCGCGCCTTTAAGGAATTGTCGGTAATGCAAAGCAGAATGTTCTACAATATTTTATTAATTTCGCTGCTTTGATTCATTACGGGGAATGCAAAGTACAATGCTTTACCGTAGTCAACTGAAGAATAGAATGAATACCCAAAAACTATTTTCTACCGTTCTTTCTGCGGAAAATACCATCGCATAAAAATCATGTTTTGCTCGGTTTAATTCACAGCAAAGTTGAAGTCAGTCAATGAAGTGAAGTACGCGAGTGAGGAAGTAAAATTTTAATTTTAATTGAATATGTATGTATGTACATACATACCGATTTTTAAATAAGATCTAAATACCTAAATATATACATATGTATGTATAAAAACTGATTTATAAAAATTTTAATTAATTTCAATCTTTTAATATAAATAAGTATGTACTTATCAAGGCATTCTACATTAGTTTCCCTGTAAGGCATTCTCTTTTCGCTTCTCTGGATTCTGTTTATCCATGCATTCTCCCTTCATTCAAAGATAATGCCCATGTTCAAATAATGCCTTCTTGAAGCTAAATGGTAAGCGATTCCCATCGCCTAATTCGATTCAATTTTAATTTCTAACCTAACTTAACTTAAGACTTAACTTAGCAGATCACACGTATCTTTTACACATAATGAGCTACTAAATCTGGAATTGTGTAACTAATTAGCAACTAAATATCCAATAGGTTAGAGTTGTGCGTCGTGGCCATGGTCTGCTTGCTTAATATACGTCAAATTTTTTCTGTAGCAAATTCACATCAGCCAGGTTGATTTAAGAGAAGCCAAGTCCACGAAAAAGCGGTATAGCCTTTACACTTAATCGAAATAAACTGTTCAAAAACTGCGCTTAGAAATGGGATATTTTTTATATTGAAAATGTATATTACGCCGATGGCTTTCTTAGCGAATCTCTCCATTATCCTTTTAGTGCTAATTTTAATACCGAAAAGTACATGTCGGCCTGCTACTACAAAACTATACTATGTCTTTAAACCAGAGATCGAAAATAACCGTCACCAAGTGTCTTGTATGGTGTTTACCATTGACACAAATAGAGCGTTCCAGCACGTCTACGATTTGCAAGTTTTTCAGGATTTAGTCCAAAGTCGTTCCCGTACGACAAAAATTCTGTATCTGGGAACACTCTCGTGAGAGTAACTGACCAACTGTTCCCAGAATGAAGTTTCAAGATTTAGTCTGGAGTTTTTCTTCTGGCAAATTCATGAAAAGTGTCAAACGATAAGTAAAGTAGAGTTGCATTTGTGTACAAAAACAGAACGCGGTGATAGCAAATAACCTTACATTTGTTAAAAAAATTTAAGTAAATAATGAAGTATTCGAATATATATGCAATTATTATTAATTATATAGATTTTAATAGTTATTTAGTAATCTTTCAGCCAAATCAGTCTTACACTAATGACAAGTAAACAAACCAAATGACGTTTTTGCTGGAAAAAGTGCTTTTTGCGTTCCCGTACACTTCTGCATCTGTTCTCCTGTTACTCTCACTAGAGAGAGTAAAATTGTAGTTTGACATTTCCACAGGCTTTAGTCCGAAAAGTACTGGAACGAACAAAAACACTCGTCTCTCAAACAAAGGGTGTTTCTGACTGTGGCATATCACTCTGTGCGATCTTTTTGTGTTTTCCGTTGTGGGTTATTTATCAACTTCTAAAATTTCCCTTAGGCAAAGACACTTTGGCAGGGACTTTTATTTTTAAGTGTCTTAATTTGTGGGTTATTGTAAGACTGAAAACTATAAGTGGAAGCAAAGCGTTAGGCATTTCTTTGAACGACATATACGTACACATACATGTGCCAACTTTTATGACAGAGAAGAGAGCGTGCACATTCACAATATGATACACAGAAAATAAGTTATTTTATTTTATTGATAAAGACAAGGGTAAAGGCAAAGGTAAAAATAAAAACCAAAACAAAGATGCGTAAAGATATATGCAAAAATTACGATCAAGATAAATTTAAAAATTTTACTAGTATAAGGGCAAAGGTGAAGTGGAATATGTAGATGTAGAAAATGATAAAGATAAATATTAAGAAAAAGATCAGGGTGAGTATAGATGAAGATAAAGAAAAAAAGATTAAAATAAAGGTAATTATAAAGAAAATGATATAGAGTCACAGATTTGATAGGTTTATACGCACTTCTACGGTATCTTCTGCGTACACGTTCGTGGGTAATGCGCTCTAACACTTATTTTTCCTCTACCAGCAATAAGTGTCCGTGTCCAAAAGCAACGGAAAAAGATATGCAAATGACCCTTTCCCACTGAGAGGAGCACACATCTACAAAAAAAAACCACCTGTTCTGTTTTGTGGGTAATTTTTTTTTTTTTTTTTAAATAGTGACGATTATTTTGGGACACTTTCAAATTGGAGAGCGATATTTTCGACCTCTGCTTTAAACGAATAAATACTTGTACACACGGCGCACAGTGTGCTTTTTGAACACTCCATCCGAATTAATCGTAGCGCTTTCGACAGAAGCTATATTTTGGTATGAAACAAAATAGTTTTGAAAGGTAATTTTATTGCCTAAAAATACTGCAATTGCTGGACAATTACTCCTTGACCTTAAAAAAATTGGTAAAAAATAGTGTTCTTCGAAAAAACATGCAAAATCCACCGGATTTGTTCCAAAAAAAAAACTTTTTTTGTATGTTTTATTACACTAATATTATAGATTTTCAGACGCGAGACACGATTCCACTGTTTAAAAATGAAAAAAAATTTAACACCTCAATTTAAGAAATGCATTTTTTATTGCATTTTTGTTTTTATTTGCTTTATGTAGCTGTGCATCCTTTTCACAAATTTTATATCACTCGAATACCAAGTACGCTGTAGTGCTATTCAAGATTTTTAATTTGCCAAGTTATAACAATTTTAAACCAATTTTTTGGATTAATCATCTTTCGATATTACATGCTTTGTTGTTGTATGTTCCACTTTGACTTGTTTCTATTTTAGCGGATAGGAGGCAGCTTGGGTTTTATATTGCTTGTTGGCGTTTCGAAGGAGCTGCTTAGGGATGGCGAAATACTCTCCAGTTGGTTAAGCGATCATTTATTAGTTCCATATTCCTCTGTGAAGGGGTAGTGAGTGTGATTTGGCTACTCTCACACCCAGTTGCACACATCTATAACAGTGTACATACATAGATAAAGAACTCCGAGCCACTTCAGCCTCTTTTCCTGAGTCTTTCATCTTTGTTTGGCTTCTTGCCATCCGCAAAATTCTGAAATTATATAAGCCTTAAATATTTCACTAGTAAAAAATATTAACATCATTCACATAAATATTTACTTAGTTATCTATAATTTTTATTAAATATTTAATGATCAAATAACGACCAAAACTAAGTCAACAATGGTTAAGTCTGCTGTCACCTCAAAATATGAATCATATAAAAAGCGTGCGAAAATGAAATGAAGTCAGTGTACTCGCGGTTCTCAAAATAGGAAGAGTTAAGACGACGCTACCACACATAAAAATGACGACGCTACCACAATTAAAAACGAAGCTTGTGTTGGTCAGCACTCTACTGCTGATCGGTGGAGTCTTAGCACTACAAGACTCCGTTGAAGTTTCTACGCCAAAGCCAGACATCAATGGGCAGTCCTTTGCGGATACCGAACAAAAGCCGATTGGTCTAGGAAACATACAACGCAATCCGTTTGGCAGTGTGTATCCAAATCCTACATTACCACAATTTCCCTTAACACCGCAGTGTAAGTTTATCGCCATTTTGGGTGGAATTTGAAATCATCTTAACCCACTCCCTCTTCTTTAGTTAACCCCGGTGCCTGTTTGGCACCTATCGGTCTAGGCTTGAGCAATCTCTTCAATCAGGCCAAGGCGTTGTTGCCACTCGAACGCATAGAAAACATTGTCCGTGCCGCCGCTCAAGATCCCGAAGTTCATGCTTTCTACAAGCTGGTCCAGACGCCCGAATATCGTCAGCGCACCGCAAGTTTTCTTGGCTCGCGTGAGTATAGAGTCTTTCGTGATTTGGCCTGCTACAAATTGAATTTCGATCTGCGTTTGTATATTGATTTTAAAAGAAATTTATTGCCTTTGTCGGCTTTGAAGGAGCCTCCGAGAATTGACACTGAGCAGCTGCCTCAAGGTCGACCGGGTCTGCGCGGTTTACTGGAGGACATACGCGACGCATTGCCGCGTCAGCGATTGCGCGATTTATTCGAGCGTTTATTGGCGACCGATTGGTATTTGACACGCGCTGTGCAAGTAAAAC